CCTCAGCCTCCCAAAGGCGCGGGATTACAGGCTGAGCCACTGAGCCCGGCTATTATTATTGTTTAAAAGCAACAGCTCTTTAAATGATTTTTCCATATGAAATAAACCTTCACATTGAGTTCTCACAATTCTGTAGAAATCAAATTTCAACAGTCAGGACAGTTTTGTCTTCTCTCTTCCCTTCTCTTAAATCTAGAGAAGAGTGGTCTTGTTGCATGGGGGAGGTGGTAGGGGGAGAAGGGGTCTGGTGACATACAAAAAAATCTGGATTTCAGGAGAGGGAGGAGGTGAATCTTTAGCTAAAGCTGTAGGTACCAACCTGAGAGCACATCCCTGGCCTCTCCTGACACCCAGGAAACTTCTCCCAAATCTGTGACTCATAGAAGGACTCTGGGTGCCTTCCATCTGTTCCTTAACTTTCTTTTTTTGAGTTGGAGTCTTACTTGGTCACCCAGACTGGAGTGTAGTGGCCGCTCCCGGCCACCACAGCCTCGACCTGCTGGGCTCTGGCGATCCTTCCGCCTCAGCCTTCTAAGTAGCTGGAACTACAGGCGCATGCTACTACGCCCGGCCAATTTTTTTGATTTATTGTAGAGATGAGGTCTCGCTGCCCAGGCGGGTCTCAAACCCAGGGGCTCAGGCAATCCACTCACCTCAGCTTTCCAAAGGCGCAGGATTACAGGCTGAGCCACCGAGCCTGGCATTCCTTAACTTTCAATGTCCTAGGATGTCCACAAGACAAAAATCCAGGCTCCTTAGCTTACTGTTCAAGCCCCACCCTCTGCAATGTGACTTTCTTTCCAGTTGAATCGTGAGTTATTACAGCCCATGAAGAATCCAAGCAAGAAAGTTTGCCTCTTTAATCAAAATAAAATAAAAATAATAACTAATATTTGTTGAGTGGTTAGGGTGTGCACTCAACAAATATTAATTATTATTATAGTCCTGAGCTCTTTATTGGCATCTAATTTTCATAACAGTAACTGAGGTAAGTATGATGGCTATCTTTGTCATTGGGATAAAGAAACAGGTTTAGAAAGGCTCATTACCTTGCCGAGGTCACTGAGCTGGGAAGTTGTTGGACTTGGGATTTGAATCTGAGGGTCTCTGAACCTTGGCCCCGTACTGCCTACTCAGCACCTCCTCTCGATGCACCTGTGTATTTGCTCTCTGAGGGTCTCATCTGTGAATTCTTTCCCTGATACTCCCTACCTATTTCAGTCCTCCCCACACTGCCAAGACCAGTTAAGGACCCTTCCCTGCAGGTTCAGGCCACCACACCATCTCTCCCATTTCAACTGCTGTTGAACTTAGAAGTGCTCATCTGACTCTTGGCATTTACTGCCTCATGTCAGTCTCTGTATATGCACATTTAGCTCTTCAAGCGGACCAGGAGCTCTGGGACCAGGAAGGCCTGGACTGACAGCCCTTGGGAAGGGACGCTTAACCCTCTGAGCTTCAGTTTTCTCGCATGAGAATGGTATCCTGTGAGGATGCTGTGAGTACCAAACGAGATAACACGTGTAAGGGTGTCTGGCATAGGATTACACACAAGTAGAAACTAAAAAAAGTTCCCCTTCGGTTGTCAGGGGCCGCCAAGTTTGTTACTCCTTAGCATTTGCATGAAACTCTGCATATAGTGGGTTCAGTGAACCCTAGATGATTTTTATCTGGCGAGAAACACCAGTAGTTTTAGCTTTTATTTTATATGACTATCTCTACACTGAGTTACTATACTGATGAACACATTCCTTTTTAGATACATAAAATAATCTGGGAATAGCTCCACGCAGTTATAAAAGAAAGTTCTATTATAATATTAAATAAGTAATTCAGAAATTTTGAAACCTGTCTGGTAGGTAGAACAGGTAAGATCATCGGCAGGTGAGCAGGTCAACAAACTATTAAAACCCACTGCTGGATGCTGTTGTCCGGAAGACTTTCCGGATAAGTGCACTTGGAAAGAAATATTCTGGAATACCTGAATCACACCCATTCCAACTGCATTTTTGTTTCAATGTTTTATATGCCAGCCCTCAACCGGAATGGGAAGGAGTCTTGGGGAACCAAAAGATCCAGTTGACAGGGCAATGCCCAAACATCCAGCTTTACAAATTTCAGAGGTTGCAAATCGATGGAATTGGCTGTGTGGATTCATTAACCTGGATTTTGAATGTGTTTGGGTGGGCATGTGGACTACAGTTTGTCACAGTCTCTATCACTTTCTATTGCATTATGCTTGCTGCTTGCTTCAGAGACTACAGGCTGAGTTTCCAATTCCTGAATTAAGGCAGAGGTCTGGCTTTTCTACAATCCCAGTGCAGTTTCTGAGATTCACATGAGGGCAGGGCCAACTCCTAACTCCGGGTAAGAGCATCACCGCCCTCTTTTCATACCTTGTTTGACAAGTTCTTTAATTCTCCCTGGAGTTCCCACACCCAGGTGCACCACACGCTTCTCCAGCAACTTCACCTGCTCCTGGACCTATTCCAAGATGGAAGAGAAGAAAAGGAAGCATCATTAAGAAAGCGCACTCCCTGGCCAACTGAGAACATTTACAATTAAGAGAGTAAAAAGCAAATGGAGCTACCCTTGTTTAGGGTCAACTTCTAGAGAGGAGTATGTTCCTAGAAAACCAGGAAACCCTCAAAGAATCTGTGTTCAAATCTCAGCTTCTGTACAGAAATGAGGCATGGCAATAGTGAGTGCTGTTGGAGCATTGGATATGTCAAGTTACGGAATTAAGAAAAAAACCAGAATGGTTGTTAAATACATCGCTAAGGAAGGGACCAAAGAAAATATGTGCACAGGAGACGAGGAGACGAGCATAGGGGAAAGGTTGACACCTTGGACTGGCCCTTAGGGATCCCAGGCCTTGGCTTACCTTGATGTGTTTTGCAAATAATTTCATAACTTTGCTGTCTCCTCTGAATGCTGTCATCGACCTAATGAAAAAGGAATAGGTTAAGCAGCTCTCTCATTCCGAGCTACATTGACACTTAAGTATTATATCTTGCTCAAATACTACTTAAGTATTATATAATACTACTTAAGTATTATATCTTGCTCAAAGAATGTGTGCATCTGTGTGTGTGTGTATGTGCATAGGTGTGTACGTATACATAGACACAACAAAATTCTGGGATTTTCAGGTCAGCCCATCTCTGCAATGAAAGTGGAGTAGCCTTTTATTCTGGTGCACGTCTGCATTGGCTTCTAACTCTCATACACAAGGTTGACCTTACTGAGGCTTTCTTGATTAAAACACATGCATCTGCCTTTCATTTGTAATACAGAACTCCCTTATTTCAGGTTCCTGGCAGAGTGTATCCTCTGCGGTATAGTACTTGTGCAAAATTTGGTTGCAGGAGATATCTTAAAGCAGTGATGTCAGTCTGTGCTCTGTGGAGTCCAAGGTCACCTACAAAGGTTGGTTTGTGGTGGCCCTGAGGGGGAGCTGGGGAAGGGCTGGACAGGGAGAAGGAGGACAGATATCTTCCTGTCAGGGCACCCTCCTCTTACCTACTTTGTAGACTGAGTTTTTCTATAAAATTTTACATGTGGAAATGGATTGGCCAAAAAGAAAGACAAGAAGGATGGGAAGGAAGGAAATAAGAAAATAAGAAAAGAAACCATTGGTAAAAAGGAGTGGCTGCATTAGAGCTATGAGAGGAGGTGAATATCTAAATATATTCATCTATATATAATATCTTTATATATATATATATATATATACATACATACACATACACACATATATACATGAGTGAGGTGATCTGAGAGGCAGGTGTGAAGACCGAGGGACACTCAAGAGCATACGTGCTGTAAAAGTGTGTGCCTTGTAGAGTGTGCCCTGTAGAGAGCGTGTGGCCTGTGAAGAGCATGCCATGTATAGTCTGTACCCTGTAGAGCGTGTGGCTTGTGAAGAGCATGCCATGTACAGTGTGTGCCCTGTAGAGAGCATGTGGCCTGTGAAGAGCATGCCGTGTATAGTCTGTGCCCTGTAGAGCATGTGGCCTGTGAAGAGCATGCTGTGTATAGTCTGTGCCCTGTAGAGCGTGTGCCCTGTGGAGTGTGTGGCCTGTGAAGAACATGCCATGTACAGTGTGTGCCCTGCAGAGAGTGTGGCCTGTAGAGAGCATGCCATGAAGTATGTGCCCTGTAGAGAGCACATGCCCTGTGGAGAGCATGTGGCCTGTAAAGTGTGTGCCCTGTAGAAAGCATTCCATGTAGAGTGTGTGCCCTGTAGAGAGCATGTGCCCCATAGAGTGTGCTCTGTAGAGTATGTGCCCAATAGAGCGTGTGCCTTGTAGAGTGTGCCCTGCAGAGGGTATGGCCTGTAGAACACTGTACCCTGTAAAGTGTCAAGTGTGCACCCCTGTAAAGGGGTCAACTGGCTTCTTTAAAAATCAGAAGGTCTTGCAACACTAGACCCATAATCTCACCTCATAATAACTGGCTGAGCTGGTGCCATACACATTGCCTCTCCTGCCTCTGCCTTGGCAGCCGGCCCTCAGCCCACACCAAACAGCCACAAGACGTCATCTGTCCAGCGTTTTTATTGTAGAGATGACACTGAGGATGCTGCCACTATGTCATATTGGGGAAAGTCATGTTTCTTACAGAACTGTTTTTGTTTTTTTCCTCAAATTCAGAGAATATCGTGAATCTAACAACTGACAATGTTTTCCAACTTATCCTGGCCTCTGGGAAGTATGGGCCACAGTTGAGGCCATCTCTGCAACTAAATGGGACTTTATGAACTTGACCTTGGACACCACTCCTAGTTAGCTTCACCAGATTTTCTGTTCTTTATTTTTTATTTGCTTCCATTTTCACCACTTGTTTTTTTATTGGTATTTCTATGTATCACTTAAAATTCTGTTTTGAGAAGTAGGTATAAATGAGCAATCTTTTGTTGTTGTTTTTAAAGTTGGAGTCTCACTCTGTTGTCCAGGCTGGAGTGCAGTGGCACATTCACAGCTACCCCAACCTCGACCTGCTGGGATCCAGTGATCCTTCTGCCTCAGCCTTCCAAGTAGCTGGAACTACAGGCATGCGCTACCATGCCCGGCTAATTTTTTATTTTATTGTAGAGACGAGGTCTTGTCAAGTTGCCCGGGCTGGTCTTGAACCCTCAGGCTCAGGCAATCCACTCGCCTTGGCCTCCCAAAGTGCTGGGATTACAGGCTGAGCCACTGATCCTGGTCAAACAGTCTTCTAATTGACATTTGAGGACTGACCTGAATGGTAATGCTACTTTCCTTTATACAATCATTATTATGTTTTGAGAAGTACTATTGACCAGTAAGAACATATAAGAATGTTCTTACATATTCTTGCAGAATAGTGATTCATGCTACACAAGTTTTGTTGCATTCAGGTTTTTGTTCACACATAAGCCTTCTCCATAACAAGGTTAACTAGGAAGATAATTTAACATATGTCATGGCTCTCAAAAGAACAGATGTCCTTATAAAAGCTAGAATTATTACACATTTGTCTTTATGAATAGGGCTTGTTGTGTCTGCTCAGATATCACCTTCTGAGAATCACCTAACCTTGAAACGGATCACAATATTACCGGGGACACAGAAAAATATTGGGAACTGGTAAATGAAGTATGACAACACAGAGCTTTCATGTTCCTCAGAAAGGAATTTATGTACAATAAAAGCTCAAATCAATTTGACAACTTGATTTTAAGAGGCCATTCCAGGCCAAACTCTTTGCCATTAGCACTTGAATCTAAGATGAATTCTGGGTTGGTCAGGTGAATGCCTGTGATTTCAGAACCAGCACATGCAGCTTCCCAGAAGCAGTTGGAGTCTTAAAGATCTATTATGTTTAGAGCAGAAACAGTTGAAAGAAACACTTTCATTTTACTGGGAGGCTTCGTGATACAATATAACGTGTGTGCTTAGGTGGGGAAAGAGGGTTTAAAAGACTACTACAGTTTAAAAAACGACTTCCCTAAATTTGTGATTAGATTAGATCACTTAGAACAACAGAGGCTAAATAACGACTGAGTGTCTATATTTGCACCTTAGTCTATTTGACCAAGTTCCCTTTTCTTCATGACTTGGATTTTCCTTTGTTTTGTCGCCTGTCAAAGCCTGGCCCAGAGCCTGGCTACTAGAGCGTGCTGGTCCCAGTAAATTCCATCTTACTCTGACGGCTCTTTTCTGAAAGCTAAATGTTACCACTGACCCAGTAGAAGTCTTTTTGTTTATTCTAGAAAAACTACAGTAAATGAAAAGGTATGTGAAAGCACTGAAAATCTCTCTTTAAAACATAATCTTTACATTTAAGTCTTTGGTCCATTTGGAATGTATCTTGGTATAAATGAGTTATGAATCTAACTTTATCTTTCCAGATGGCTACTCAGTTGTTTCAACACCATTTATTAAATAATCCATCCCTCCCTACTGATTTCGGATTTGTCACTGTAGGCATATGCTTCATTTTCATATGCATCTGGGTTTATGTCTGAACGTTCAGTTCTGCTCCACTGATCTGATCTGTCACACATGTGCCAGTTCCATACTGATTTAATTATTGAGATTTCCTAATATAGATATTTGTGATTTGTGGGGCTATAATCCTTTCATTGGTATTCTTTTTCAGAATTTCTTCATCTATTTTTAGTTGTGGATTTCCCACATGAATTTAAAACTTATTTATCCAGTTCAAAAAACAATTCTACTGGAGTTTTGTTAGGAATCTGTGAAATTTATAGATTATCCTAAGTAAAGCAGACATCTTTACAAAACTCAATCTTCCTATTCAAGAATACAGTATACCTTTTTGTTTGTTCAAAAATCTATGTCCTTTATATGATGTTTTCTCTCTATAAATTTTGTAAGCTTAGTCTTTGGTGTTTTATCTTTTCCTATTGCTATTTTAAGTCGGATCTTCCATTTCTTCTTCTAACTGCCTGCTGATGGTATGATCTTGCTTTTCCTCTTGCTGCCCATATGAGTGTTCTCCACACAGCAAAGTGATCCCTCAAAGTGATGATTCGGATCACATGACTCCTCAAATTCCTCCAGTGGCATCCTATCTCAGGGTATTTTGTGCTTACTGTCCCCTCTCCCTGGAATTTTCTCCCAGATAGCTGCTGGGTTCTCTCCTTCACTTCGTTCAAGTCTGCTAAAATGTCATCTCCTTAGGAATTGCTTTTTGTGACTACCCTTTTTAAAGCAGTCTCATCCACTTCTGTCCCTTTGCCATGCTTTGTTTTTTCTGCACGTATCACTATCCCTGACATTATAACATAGCTTTGTTTGTTTATCGTCTGCTTCCCTCACTGGAATGTAAGTTCCATGAGGGCAGGGCTCTGTTTTGTTCATTACGAGATTTCCAGTGCATAGAACACATCAGTTACTCAGTTTAGCACACATCAGTTACTCAGTGTAGCACACATCAGTTACATCAGTTATCAGTTACTCAGAAAACATTTAGCAGGTAGAACAGGTGAAGCTTCCAACCTAATGAGCTCCAGGGCTCGGACGGCCGAGCTGCAGATGATCAGTATCAGGACCGATTTCTTCTCACCGTGGTTTTTCTGAAGTTTTGCCCACTTAGGACAGACTGGAGAAAAGACAACAAAATGGTTATTCTAAATGCAGTGAAAGTAATACCCCCAGAGTTGAGTATTCACCAGTTAGTTCTTTATTAACGTTTAAGCTAAGGAAAATATAATAAGCACTGTTCAATTCTAATTCTGTTTTCTGGATATTGAAGATATTGGATTAAATGGGAAAATAACTCTGATTCAATAATGTTAAACTTTAACGGGATTCTCAATAATAGATAGAAAATGGAACTGGCATTTAAAGAATAGCAAATATTTATTAAACACTGATATCATGCTAAGCACTTGACATAAATTTTCTTTTTTAGCTCTCATAATTCAGTAAGATGATTCTATTATCACCTAGATTTACATTTGCTGAATTTGATGCTGATAAAGGTTTATGAACTCAAGTTGAGTGTTGTCAAAACTGCTTACAGTTTGAAAGCATCGTATATCTATAGATCAAAACTATTTCACTGCAGGCCACCAATAAGTGATGACTTAATATGAATAATCTAGTTATTGCTGGTTACACATAATATATATTGATATTTAAAATATCAAATTAGAATGACTTCATAATAGCCATGGTCTGAATTCTGAACATGTGAACAGAATTTTGGAATTTCACACCTGGACTCGAGATCACATAGTCCATCCTACCTATCTTTCAGATAACATAATCAAGTCCAGGGGAGCACTTGGTGACTTGTCCTAGGTCAGAGTCAATTGGTGGGAGACCTGGGACTAGAATACTGCTCTCTGGATTCCTAGACCAGTTTTTCTAATGCGTTACAAAAGAAAACCCAAGTTCCCAAAGCCAGAGCAAAATAAGAATAAATTTAAATAGACTAACATCAGGGTTTACTTACTTTCTTTTAGGTATGATGAAAGACTGTGAGTCAAATCATTAGGCTTGAGGAAACAGGCGTCTAGAAATATGAGAAATGTGTTTTGTAGGGAATTTTGCAAACACACAATCAAAATAGGTTAAATGTGAATGATGTTTTTAAAGTGTTGTCTAGTATTTAAAATAACAGCAGCAACAAATAAATTTTTAATCCTCCACATAGCTGCCAATAATTTCTTAGAGCAGTGATGTAGATGCTTGTTATATCACTCAGCAGACTAAGAAGTCCCTTTATTTTTCAAATTCATAAAATAGGCACTATACAAAGGTAAGGGGAAGTGGCTCACAAATCCATGTAAAGATGCTCAAACTCATCAGTCATCAGATAATTGCAAATCAATACAAGGATGAGATTCCACTTTACACACTCATTAGAATAGCAGTCATTAGAAAGATGTACATTGAGCTGGGATTGGTGGCTCAGCCTGTAATCCCGTGCTTTGGGAGGCTGAGGTGAGTGGATTGCCTGAGCCTGCAGGTTCGAGACCCACCTAGGCAACTTGGCGAGACCTCATCTCTACAATAAATAAAAAAATCAGCCGGGCATGGTAGCGCGTGCCTGTAATTCTGGCTACTCGGAAGGCTGAGGCAGAAGGATCGCCAGAGCCCAGCAGGGCGAGGCTGCGGTGGCCGGAAGCGGCCACTGCACTCCAGTCTGGGCAACAAAGTGAGACTCCAACTCAAAAAAAAAAAAAAAAAAAAAAGAAAGAGAGATGTACATTACCAAGTGTTGCTGAGAATGTAAATGATGGAAACTCTTGGGAACTGTAGTTGGAAGTGTAAGTTGGTATAGCTATCTGGGAAAGTAGTAATATTAAGATGTATGTACCCCGTGGCCCCAAGATTTCATTTCTAGGTAAACAATGGAAAGAAATTCTTATGTGGTCTATAAAGGTACTCACATAAGGATATTCATGCTGGCACTATTTACGATACTAGGGAGCTCGAAGGGTGTCCATATCTGGGAAAATGGATGAATACATGTGGAAGATGAAAACTCTGTAATACTAAGTAGCATTTAGAAGCAATGAACTAGATATGCATAGAGCCATACAGGCACTTCCACTTGAAAAAGTGAAGAAAGAAACTGAATGAGAGGAACAGCGCAGTCACGTAGGTCCGTTTAAATATGCACACACATACACAAAATGATATGTTTTATAAGAGTATGTACATTTAAAAATGTGTATTAACCTGTTAGAGTGGAGGTCTACAAGGATAGGAAAACAGTGTGTGCATTAGGGAAGAATGGGAATAATACATCAAAATGCAACACAACAACACAATAAAAGACAAGGCAACACATTAAAAATAAAACCAGGCCTTGACTGGCCAATGATGATATTATCTAGTAATTATGTACGATTATTAGCTCTGTACCTGAGATGTATAAAAAAGAAATATCATGGTTATCATTCTAATTCTATTAGAAAAATTTGTCTATAAACACAGCAGAGTGTCGGGAATAAACTATTATGAAATTTATATTGTGACCCAGCATTTATAACTCACATTCTGTGAGGAACTAACTGTTCCAAGCTGTTGCCGAGTCTCAGATGGTCTTTAAAACTGTAGTTTCCCAAGCTTGGATGTGATCAGACTCACCTGGAGAGCATGACAAAAAATACAGCTTCCTGGGATGGACTCTGTTTTACACAGTGAGAATCTCTTGGGTGTGGGGCTGGGCATCTGCTTTTAAAGAAGTTCCTGGGTAATTTGGTTGCAGCTAGGCTGCAGGCATTTGAGAATCACTTAGCTAAACCACAGTGCAGCTGTCAGGAGACAGATGAGGGGTTAATTAGCTCCGGGCAACTTCAGCCTTGAAACCCTAATTACGTGCCCATGTGTATGACATTAACAATGTACCGTGTACAATATTAATTGAAAAGACATGTCTCTACCCTACAGACAAAAACAACCTCAAATCAAAACCAAGTTAGACACTCGACAAACTACATGGGAACAATATATTACTATTTATATTCACCTTATATTTATGCCCCTCCCCGAGCCTGTTCCAAATAGCATCATGGCATCTCTGTCCCCTCACCTAGTATAGACTTCCTCTCTGTGCTTGGTCTCACCAAGGTCTGTTCTAAACATTTTTATGGTGCCTCAGTTTATTGTGTTTCAGGATGGCCTCGCTTCTTAGCTGAAAATAAAACCTGTTCTTGTTGACTATAACAGTATTTCTAACATACTTTCCTTCCTCCCTGAACCCATGACTACACATTCTTGCCTAACAGTATTACTGAACTCTAAGAAAACAATAATATAATACAAACTCACTATGGAACCCAAATGACTCCCTGAAGGTTTCTTCTGACCTCTGACGCTCTATAATTATAGAGGATCAAAGTTTATGATGATCCATGAGGTTACAGGTTAACAGCAGCCCCACTAACTCACAAATCCTTCCTAAGTTCAAGTTATGCTCTAACAAAGAACTGGAAAGGAAAACTGACCATTGAGACACAGTAAAAATCAAACTTCAGTTAAAGCTTGAAAAGTGGCTTAGTTCCTGTGACAGTGCAGTCAGAACACAGCTCCCACAGCAGAGGCACTGGTGTGCTCAGAAGAGTGGGTTCTAACTGCTGTTGGAGCCGTCTGGACTCAGTAAGTCTGAACTCCAGATCTCACTCAAGTGCAAATGCACTTCCTCAACTCCCTAAAGGGTAATCTTCTGGAAAAGGAACAGGGCACTCATGTCTCCAAACCCAATGTGCGTTTTTAAAAAAAAGCACATCACAAAAGAATTATAAAAATTCAGGGAACAGACTGTTTTTCAGCTTCTTAAGCTTCTAGAAAGCATAAAGTTGTAATGGAAAAAGGAAATCAAACCACCCTCGACTTTTTCTAAAAGCAGTATTAGATATCCCTAGTAGTCTATAAATAGCTTATTTGAAGCAGTGGTACCCAAACTTATTATGGCTTGATTTTATGACAATATCTATTTTCTCTCATCCCTATCTAAATGAGTTAAAAGATGTATAATTTTAAAATTAATTAAAATTAATTGTTTAAGTTTTGCAATGTCTTTAAACTTAATTATAAAAACATCAAGGCAGTAGATTTCAAACTCTAGTAGGCTTAGGAATTCCCTGAGGTAAGGTGTCAGCCTTGTTAAAAATGCAGAATTTTGTTCCTGCCCTTAGATAGTTTGAAAAAGTCTGAACTGCAACCCCAAACACTATTCTAACAACAAAATCATGACTGGAATTGCACAATGAGGACACAAAACTATGATGCTTATTAAGGCTAAAGTTCTTGTTCATAAAGGATGAGGAAATTGGTGTTTCACATCTATACTTTTAAATATGTGCTTTATCTTTTTTTTTTTTTTTTTTGAGTAGGAGTCTCACTCTGTTGCCCAGACTGGAGTACGGTGGCATGCTCACGGCCACCGCAGCCTCGACCTCCTAGGCTCAGGTAATCCTTCCACCTCAACCTTCCAGGTAGCTGGAACTAGAGGCATGAGCCACCATGGTCGGCTAATTTTTTGATGTATTGTAGAGATGAGGTCTCACCAAGTTGCCCAGACTGCTCTCGAACTCCTGAGCTCAGGCAATCCTCTCACCTCCACCTCTCAAAGTGCTGGGATTACAGGCGTGAGCCACCATGCCTGTGTGTTTTATCTTTATTTTAACTTCTAGCCTCATTATTCTTACTCCATGAATTGTCTGCAAAAAAAATGCATACTCACCATTTAGTCTTGAATAAAAAATAAAATACAATCACAAATCTTAGTATAAGAGTCAACAAATGCCATTTAACATCCTAATAAGGAAATTATCCATCAGTTAAAACTATTAAGTTGAGAGAAGGAGTGTCAGCACATGGAAAATATATTCATTTACTGGCTCAGATGCCGAACCATAACATACAGTGGAAGAAAGATGAGCCTGTTTTGCTCCTCTGCTTTAGGAAAACTGAAGTCTGGCTGTACCTGGCAGGTTCAGTTCTTCTAATTCAATCACCGAGCGAGTGCTGCTATAATACTCTTTCATCAGTTTTTGCAGGTCTTCAGGTATTCCTGGTTTTGGCTCTGTTTTTGCCAGAACATCAGTAATTTTCTTCTAAGATATGAGAAGGAAGAAAAATGGGAAGAGAAAACTTAAAACGCCATTTGGTTTAGAATAGGTTGATTCCTCTTGCACTTGATGGCTGAGTGTGAATGTAAGTTCTAATAAATGCACTTGAGAAAATGTATTGACTACTAATTGGATATAATTATTGCTTTGAAACAATGAACAGACAATCTAGAAGGCTCCTTGTAACTCTTGGTCTATGACTTCTAGGAGAACTGAAATTTTTGTAGGAGTCTCCATACTAGGGTATTATTTTCTGTTCAGAGTCAATAAATCCCGTTGCTATAGAAAGCTCTTGGTTAGCCCTCAATGGTTTGCATTGCTGGAAGGGTAGAGTTTTGAGACTTTCTTGCCTAACCTGGTTCTGAGTCTCAGTTTGGATTTCTGGCATTACAATAAAAAGCCTTCAGAAGTAATCTGAGCATGGGAGACTACTGAAAAGGGGGACTTTACACCCTCGATTCTCAAGTCTTAGGAGACCGACAATGTTAAGGTGGCCCTATGTGAAGTAGGAAACATATTAGAGGAAATACTTTCCAACATCTATTTTGCTTTGGATTCATTTGTATAGCGTGCATTGAATGCCTGATATGTACTGGAAACACACAATCGTTCATTTATTTCCATCATACACTGCTCTTCTCACTTCCTTCTAATGTTCCACCAAAGATCCAGGAGTCATTCCCCTCTCATCCCAGTTTTTTTCCCCTCTTTCTACAATTTCCTCATTTCTACACCACTGCCAAGAATGGTCAAGGTTCTGTCAAAGGAATTAACTTTTAAAAATATGTCATCAGTGGGCACATTTTAGCATGACCTCAGTCAAGGCTAAACTATCTAGTGAGAGCTCTGACCTTGAGCCACCAAGAACTTAACACTACTGAAAGCCATTAGTGTACAAACTATCAAAGAGAAGTTAAAAATCATTTCTTTAAGGACCTGCCAAACCTCAGCCAATTTGGCATCTTCCATCTTCCTATTTGGCCATTTTCAAGAAAAGAAAATATATGCACACACACTCTCAGTTTCCTAAAAGCTTTCTGTTAAGTAATTGGTTTGCGTCCATCTTTTCTCTAATCCCAATCATATTTCCTCTGCTGACTTCAGCAGTAGATCTTTCTTGGCAGGCAGAGAATTACACTGCTGTTTTCACAACTGTGGTAGAAGGTCAGAGCTAACCATATTTTCTTCAAGGCTGAGCTATAAAATAAGTTTGTATAGGTGTGAGAGTCTTCCCTATGCTCACAGGCAAGTGTCAAAATGGAAGAGGGATGCTTTTTACCTTAACTTATTGTTCCAAATTAGAGTAAGAAATGCCTTACACTATCTCCATCTGCTTATTATTTTCTAGTTATTAATATGCTAAGGTGTATGGTCTTAAAAACTGGAATGAGTAGGAAAAGAAGGTTGATATATTTCTTTTTTTTAGACAGAGCCAGAGGGGAGGATGGCTCTGGGCTCCTTCTAGAATTAGAAACCCATGTCTGACATCTAACCACAGTGAAAACACAGGGTGGGGAACAAAGATGTTTGGTACTCCACAAGACTGAAATAGGAGTCAGAGGAATTTATGTTTAACTCCAACAGAAACACTTATTACTATAGTGACCTGAGGAAAATCACTGAACCTCACTGAATCTTACAATTTCTGTATCTCTTAGGAAGGGATTACAGTAATTGCCTCATCAAAGTACGATATATAGAAATGTGATGGAAGCCGCATGGGGACATACGACGTAAGAAATTACCTTTTTCCTCTTCCTGGTCTTGGTGGCATTCTCTTCTGTTTCCTTTGGTTGTATTAAGAAACATTCTTTGGGCTATAAAAAATATAAATGAGAAAACAGTCATCTTTGTATGATGAAGAATGAGTTAACGGTATTAATTCCAAAGTACTTTCTGCCATGCATGTATTTTTCAGATTATCCTGGTAATATTCTACAGAGAGATGCCAGAATACCCACTGCAGGATATTATACATGAGTTGGGCTGAGGGAATTTCAGAAAGTCAGAAAGTGCAGATGACTTAAGACTGGGAAATCTCGGAACAAAGATCAAATGTGTGAGTGTCTATGTAACCTTGGTATGGTGGTGCAGGGCATTAAATGTTGAAGACAGTGGCTGGGTCTGTAAAACACAGGCAGAAATAGATGTGATTAAAACTTAGATGTGCTAAGACAGTCTTTGACTAGAGTGACTGGGCTTTTCCATGAACTAGATGTGCTCATGCCTTTCCAAATTACTGGTTTATTATTTTGTATTATCCATTCCTTTCCTCTTTTCAAAAGCATAGAAAATCCAACAGATAGGATATATTTACTTATATTTTTTATAAAATCAGCCGCATCAATGTCTTTTCTATCATGACTACAAAATGAATATCTCTGCTAATGGTCTGTTACTAGTCTTGGCACTGTAGCATCCAGAGTAATCTATTTTACTGTTGCTTGACCCCTGAGTACCCTACACAGTTTAGTGCTATTTTTACACTGAGGTTTTTTTTTTTTTTAATGTAGAAAAACAGGAAGTTTGGACTAAGACCTTGATTTATAAAATAGGATGCCCTAGATTCCATATTTATTAATCATAAGCAGGAGTATAAAATGTTTCCTGTGTTGGACCGTTTATGCAACATTTTCAAACAAGTTGCCAAGTAAGATATAAAATGTAAGTGAAAACGTATTCTGAGTTTTCCCTTGATTAGGTTTCCATTCCAACTAGAGAGTGCTCGTTCAAGCTGATAAGCTACTAACTAAAGCAATCTTGTCTCCACTGGCTCTGTGTAAAATGATTACAGATGAATCTTTCTATGAAAGCTTGCAGACAGCCTGCAGATTAAGAATGTCTACGGACTGAAGTCAGAGAGAAAGATATAATACTACATAATTTCTTCAGGACATAGGGCCAAAGACTAGCAGTTTCTAGACTCACTTTTGGTTGTCACAGAAGTAGATCCAAAAGGTTCAGGATTAAAGTAACATGGGAATCTTGAAATTTTAGCTTCCTCCCTGTTAAAACAAAACACTTTCAAAGAGCAATTGCATCATAGCTAAAGAAAAAGATACTGTGACCTCTCTGATTTAGAAAGTCAAGCTGCCTTGTGGATGTAGATACATGCCAATTTGATGCTGGTACATGCCAATTAGAAACCGGGCCAAGGCCACTAATATGTCACAGAAGCTGCCAGATGGTCATAAGAGTCCAATTACAGACCGGCCAACATTCAACTCATGTTCCTGAGGCAAAGCCCTGGATATGATTAGCTTATGATCCGTTAAGGCATACTGCAGTATCTCTTCATCACTATCAAGGTTTCTGGGAAGCATATTTAGAAACTGATTATATTATCCTATTTAGCATATGAGGGTGTTCTCTAGGAGTATGTTCAATGTACTGGTTGTATTTATGCTAGTTTATGAAGTCAATTATCTCAAATGTGACATCAATTAAATTTAGAAATGAATTCAATTGTAAGGATATGGACTCTTCGATTCTGGAAGAAAATAATAAAAATGTAATTCTGAATCATGCACAGGAAAAAAGAAACGTGCCTGATGAACTGCTTTAGCCAAGATACGGCATCAGGTTTAAATGCTAGGTTCAAATGTTTAGATCATCCTAAAGTATATTTGTTTTTTGAAACCAGTTACTTTGGCTTGCTGTGGTAGGATGTTAACAAAGAGGCCAAGACTATGGGGTGAGGTGACATGGAGAAATCCACATCCATAGTATTGAAAATTCCTAAATTTTGTCATCTGCCTTATGAATGTTCATGTTTACCCTCAAGAGACTGGGCAAGAAGATGTGGAAGAATCAGGTCAGGCCATTGACCATTTCTGGAAACCAATTCCCACACTATGGGGACTCTGACAGTTGCTAAGTAATGTATTTCTTTATATGAAATGTGACTATTTTAAATATGTAGTCTGAAGAATCACAATCCACCAAAAATATGCAAAAAATATAGTTTTAAGAGAAGCAACTAGGGTATATTTTCAATTCCTCAAAAATATCAAAAATTATATCTTTAAAGAATAATTCACTTAGTTAAACATGGCAAATCAACCTCAAAATACCAACAAGCTGAAAATAAAGGGCACTGAAAAGGTATAAATCTACAAGGACCAAGAAACCAGGAGCGAGGACAACAATAGTAAAGAGATTTCAAAAACTTTTTAGAAACTGGAAAGTGCTTGGAACTGGATGGAACTGACTTAGCAGAGAGAAAGCTAGCACCTGGGTTTCTGACGAGGAGGAAGCTAACAATAAGTGAGCTTGTTTGACCCACTGAACTCCTAAATAGTCCAGTACTTGGGAGTACAAGGTACTTCAGAGAGTGAAGGGTAGAAAAGTAAGAGATTGAAAGTTTATATTTAGAAATATTAGCTTCTACCTCCATCTCCTACCCTGGCAGCTAAGCAATTATCTCATCACTGCTTCCTTTCATCTTGTTCTTCTTGGCAGCAGACTGGAGGTTTATTCTCTGAAGAAATCAAGAGGATCAAGCTTCGGCCAGTGGGGAGGATAAAAACTGAGGCTCACTTCTGCTGCCTGCCCTGTTCCATGTTTACACATTGCAGATAGGCTATTACTTAATTTTCTAGAAAAATGGAATGGCCTAAGAAAAAGGTTACAAGAGAGTGACATTTGGGAGTCCCAGAGTAAAGATCCAGCTTGTTATCACCCTACTGTGAGGTACACTAATTAACAAGCTCAGTCATGTACAAAAGCTTTCCATCAACTTTTTAGTGTATTTCTTCAACATGAATAGTTGAAAAGTTTCATCAGACATCTAAGGAAAGTCTTCAGTATGAGAGCAAACAAATGTCAAACACAAAAATGAACTCACAGAAAATGACAGACAGTATTACAAAAGAATTACAATTAATATTCTCAGAAATAAGGGAAGATTTTACAGCCACAAAACAACAAGATGCTATTAAAAAAAAAGAGCAAGCAGAACACATTTAAATATATAAGAAAGTTAGAATAAAAGTATAAGAGAAAGCTTGAAGATAAAACAGAGATAATCTCCCAGAAACAGATAAAAAGTAGGAAGAAAAAATGGTGAGAAAATTAGAATATCAGCCCAAAAGATTCAACACTGTAATAAAAGGCATTATATTAATAGAAAGAGAGGTCATACAAAATAGTTAGGAAAGAGTCAAATAAATAATATAAGAAAAAAATTTCAGAACTGAAGGAAACTTTCTAGAACATGTAGTTCCAAAGCAAAAGCCCATAACGTATACAGTACAATGAATATGAAAAATATTCATACTAGGGAGCATCATTATGAAATTTCAGAAAATCATGGATAAAGTTTCTAAAAAGTTCCAAAAAGAAAAACAACATACAAAATACACACCATCAGAAAAAGGAATAGTGTCAAGACATCTCAAAAGCAACAATGGATGCTAAAACTTAATAGAATGATGTTTTCAAAATTATGAATTAAGTTTATATGTAATTCAGACTTTTATACCCAGCCAAACTATCAATCAAGTAGACAAGTAGAATAAAGACAGCCTTTCTACTAAAGTCTCAACAAATTTACTTCCTACCTACAGATACTGAAGGCTGTATTCCAGCAAAATAAAGAACTAAACCAAGAAAAAGAAGATGCGGAATTCGGCAAAAAGGGAGTCTAACCCAAGAGAGTGTTAAAAGGGGATTCCAGGATGACAGTGAAGAGTTCTCAATTGCTCAGTGGGCCTAGAGAATAACCAGTTCAGAGTGGACTAGGAATATGGAGTTCTATAGGAAAGAAAAATAACTGACCTATTTGAGCATATGGAAAATATTACTCATGGGACTGTGGAAGAGAAGTTGGAACATATGGAAACAATTAACAATAGGAACACAGCAAGCTAGGCAAATAAAGACATGAGGCAATTATTCATGCCATGAAAATAAAGAGTTGTATAAAAAAGGAGGGATGACTATAGCTTCTCTTTTTCTTAGCACTGAACAATATTTCCATCGTCATAATAATGTAATAGTGACAACTGTTTCAACCAAAATATGATATTGTGTTGGCAGGGGAGACAGCAGTTAGAGAAGGAGTGGGAGTTAGATGCGAGAGCTATGTCTTCATATACCATGTCAGGACATCAGTATATTGTGTCAGAAATTGATAAATCAAGAATCGACAGTATAAACTCTAAGGTAGCAAATAAGGAAGAAAGCTAGAAAAACAGGTTTTTTTGGTTTGTTTGTTTGTTTTTTTCCCTGAGGAAAGAACTAGGATGAGGATAGGAAAAGGGACTACTATTTTTTCATTAACAACTTTATTCATGTTTGATTTCTTAAAACAGATGTGTATGATTATTAGGTTGGTAAAAAGCAAAAAAATTAAATTGACATAACAAAATAATCATGTTCGTTATAAAAATGAAAACAATTTTTAACTGGCTTTTAGTTTCTTTGGGCTTGGTCAAAGGTGATTCAATACAGACCCACTGAAATGCCTACAATTAAAAGACTGATAACTCCAAATGTTGATAAGAATACAAAGTAACCAAACTTTCATACACTGCTGGTGGAGTGCAAAACGGTATGATCCTTTTGCAAAGATATCTGTCAGTTTTTATGACACTAAACATGCCTCAGCCCATGTCATGCATTAACCAAAGAGAAATATATATGTTCTACCTTGATCTGAACACTGTGCAATATATATATGGAAACATCAATATGCACCTTAGAAATAGGCACAATTACTATGTGTCAATTAAAAAATAAAAAGTAAAAAGATAGATGTTCACAAAAATCTTGAACGAAAATGTTCATAGTAGATTTATTTATAAGTGTCCCAAAC